ATATGTGAGCAGTCGGTCACGTGACAGCTCCCGGGACTTTCTGAGAGACGTCCCAGCACTTAATTTCTCCCGCCTTCATCCCTTCCTCCAGGCGCTGCCTGGAGTGTGGCGCACAGGGTCGGGGAGAACTGGGCCACACCCAGGGAGGGGTGGGGAGGAGCCTGCACCCCTAAGGACTTTGGAGCACAGAGCTGCCCCGCCACCGCTGAACAGCCCACCGGCCTCCTCCTTTCAAATGAGAGGGAAACAAGCTTCTCTCTTGTTTAAGCCACTGTTCTTGCTGTTTCTGTTACAGCCGAACCTAATCTTAAATAATTATAGAGCCAAGGGAGGAGGTAGCAGGTTAGCGGGTCCCCGTGGGTGAGGGGGCAGAGCCGGAGGGGTGTATTTGGGAGCCGCAGACTGAAGGCCGGGGCAGAAGAGAGGAGCGGGGACCACCTGTGAACAGAAGGTCGCCCGTCCGGAGGCTTTTCAGGCCCGGAAAGGGTTTGAAGGGTCAGACGCTATGCAGCAGAAGGGGTGGGGAGTGGTAGAGAGGTGCGGCAGGGTAACCGGAAACCAACGCACCCACCCTCGGAGGCCAGCACCGTTCCCACCCAGGCTGAGGGGGCAGGAAGGTGAGGGAGGAATTGTACCATTAACCCGTTTGGGGGTTTTCATTTCTACCCAGGACTGGACATTCTGATTACTGATCTCGGACCAAATCGGCCATTTAAGTGATCACAAGCTTTAGAGGAGATCAGAGTGAGCAACTGAGGCAGGCGACCCACCAGCGTTCTCATGGTCTCGGGGCACAGACGATCCGCACCCTCTGCAGCCCTCCCACCCCACTTCATTCATCCACCTGACAAATATTTTCTGAGCATAGACCAGGTGCCAGGAACTGTTGTAGGTGGTGACCCAGGGCAGTGAACAGAGCACCAGAGGCCCTGCCCTCATGGAGCTGACATGCTAATGGAGGAGACAGGTGCCACGGAGGATAAAAAATCAAAATAAAAAAATACCGAGTATGTTATGTAGTGATCAGTGCAAAGGAAACAAAGCTGAGAAAGGGGACGGGAAGTAGGGGGTTAATTCCAGTGAGGGCCGCTAGGGAAGGCCTCACTAAAAGGCAACATTTCTGTAAAGACTAAAAATTGTTAGAGGGGCACAGGGAAGAGAAAATACAATCGTGTCTTGATGGCACTTACTGGGTACAACCATGCAATAGGGGCATGTGTGTGTCCATGTGTGACAGAATGGGAATTGGCTCCACAGTCCCACCGGCTAGGGTGAAGTCCCTAGCTCGTTTCCCACCCCTTCCTGAAGTGGGGTGGGAGGGCTGCAGAGGGTGCGGATCGTCTGTGCCCCGAGACCATGAGAACGCTGGTGGGTCGCCTGCCTCAGTTGCTCACTCTGATCTCCTCTAAAGCTTGTGATCACTTAAATGGCCGATTTGGTCCGAGATCAGTAATCAGAATGTCCAGTCCTGGGTAGAAATGAAAACCCCCAAACGGGTTAATGGTACAATTCCTCCCTCACCTTCCTGCCCCCTCAGCCTGGGTGGGAACGGTGCTGGCCTCCGAGGGTGGGTGCGTTGGTTTCCGGTTACCCTGCCGCACCTCTCTACCACTCCCCACCCCTTCTGCTGCATAGCGTCTGACCCTTCAAACCCTTTCCGGGCCTGAAAAGCCTCCGGACGGGCGACCTGAAGTGTCTGGGGCGGAGATTGACCGTGACCCTGTGTAGGATGGGCCTCTCAGCCCAGCTCCAGATCTTAAGTATGGCCAAGAATGGGGCCATGTGTCACCAGCCCTGGGCAGCATCAGTGACACCTCCTCTCAGGCTGGACAGCACTATCTGGGAAGGAGGTTGGGCCCCAGAGATTGTACAGTCTCCTGTGTCTGGCCCTGTGGCATCAGGGGCTGGGGACAGCACAGCGAGACCATGCTCCTGCCCCACCAGAGCCCACCACCTCTGCCATTTTCCACTCCCAACAGGCAGACAGTCTGATGGGGTTTTTCCAGGCTAGGCCAGTGGCCTGACCCAGCAGGGGCCATGAGGACAGGGCAGGGACCAATCCTGGACAGCCAGGAGAGACAAGGTGTGTCCCTGAGCCCCCATACCTGGGGCTGGGGTTTGGGGGTCGGGGAGCAGCTTTGCCAGGAGCAGGCAGAGGTCAGGGTTGGGAAAGTCAGCCATGCCCCCACCCCACATCCTGTTTTTGGAATGTGGGGCCCCAGCACATGCTTTCCTTTGGACTTTGTCCAAGGCAGTGTTTCCCCACCCAGGCCCACTCCCAAGGGAACTCTGCATGACGGTGGGTAGGGTTCCCCGGCACATCCATCATTAACCTAGGGTTTTTCCAGGCTGGACTGGACCCCTGAGCCAGTGTGGTGAAGCGCTCGTTTCCCACCCCTTCCTGAAATCAGGTCAGGGGGTCCCTGTCAACACATGGAAAATTATACAGGCCCCCATGGCTGAAGGGAAGAGGAAATGTCGTGGAGGAGGAGAGTCTGGGCCTCCCCACTCAGAGCCGGGCAGGCATGGTCCACTTCCAGTGTCTGGGCCCACCAGACCCAACAAAAGCCCTGGGAATTGTCGGGCCCTGGGAAACCCAAGCAGGCTAGAGGGAGAGCAGTTCCATGATGGGCTCAGGCGCATGGGCTCCCAGCCAGTCAAGCCAGGCATGAGACAGGGACCAGCTATTTACATGCTGTGTGACTGTAGGCAAGTGGCTGAGACCCTCCAAGTCTCAGCTTCCCTCCTGCCAGGGTCATCAAGAGGATTAAATGTGCTAATTTGTATGACGGGCTCAGCGCTGGGCCTGGCAGAGAGCAGGTGCACAGGTGGAGGGGAATGGTGTGTGTGTTGGGTGGATTCCTAGAAAGGCCTACAGGGGACGAACAAAATGTCTCAACCTGGGAGTGTCCCCTCCCTGGCCATTCAGGTCAGCATGAGTCATCCTAACTCTTCCCCTAAGGGACAGCTTCTCCTGCCACCTAGAGTCATAGGATGTGATTCAGAGCCTTCTAGGAGAAGTCTATTTTTCCCACTATAAAATAACATGCTTATTATAATAAATCTGGAAATTATAGAAAAGCAGAAAGAAAGAAAAAGCTTTTATTTAACCACCAATGCTGACGACTCTTGATGCCTTAATGGTTTCCATATGGGATTTTTTTTTCTGGGCACAGGTTTTCTTTGTTCTCCGTAATATGATTGGGACCTTTGCTTTAAGACAAAGAGCTGGAAGGAAACCTGGGGGTCAGATGGCCCAGCATCCTCAGTTGACAAGCCAGGAGACTGGCCCAGAATTGCTCAGTGACTTGTCCAAGGCCATCAGTGACAGAGCTGCTGCCCCCAACTCAGCACCAAACCTCTCTTCAGCCTCAAAGGTGGCAGTCAATTGATAGTGGATCTAGGCCTTCCAGTTTGAGGGAGTCTGTTCCATGGGCTTCCATAACCTCCCCCCTCAAAAGCGGTTGGTTCTGGTTAACCCCCTCCCCCATTCCCAGAAGGAGACACAGCAGTGGGATGGGGGTAGGAGTGGGTTAGGGAGAAAGGGAGGGCTGGCAAAGCCCAGCAAGGGGCATGGCCCTGTGTCTGTTCCCAAGGGTGGAGCCAGCCAACAGGGCCACCCTGTCCCTTTAAGAGAAGGCGGAGAGCAAGCCCCTCTCATCCATTCTGTCCTGTCGTCTGTCCTGGCCAAATCCAAAAGGGAAAATGAAAAAGGGCCTAGGAGGAACAAGTCCCAGCCATCTCCCAGGATCCCTCCCTCAGCTCTAACACCTCAGCTCCAGCTCCAGGGTGAGTGGGGTCAGGTGAGGGTCTGGGGGGCGCCAGGGGGCTGTGGGAGTGTGTGTGTGTGTGTGTGTGTGTGTGTGTGTGTTGGGGGAGGTTCTCAGGAGATGTGGGAGCCTGGAAGCTGAGGGACACGAGGGAGGAGATGGGAGAGGGCTGGGCCCGTATTCCCACCACTCTGCGGTGGGATGGCAGGGGACACCTGGAACAAAGGATAGAGTTAAGGAAGTGGGACTACTTTTGTGTCCACCCCCCAATTCTGAGAGGAGTTCACTGCAATAAGAAGGGCAAGAGAAATGGTGGGCAGAGAAAGAAGGAGGTGAGGTCCCTCTGGGTCTACTGGCTCCCAGCTCTCCCAGGGGTACCAAGTTGGGTCTGGAGTCCTGGGTTGGAGGCACCATGGTTGCCCATGGAAAGCATCCTGGAGCACATAAGGGCACCCCTGGGTTTCTGCTTCTATAGTGCGATGGGTGGCTGCCCCTCCTGATGTCCAAGTTCACACCCTACAGATCTGGACTCTGGAGGAGCCAGCGGTCCAACCAAGCAGGCCCATGGGGATCTAGAGCTAGAGCACGACGGTGGGGCTCCTCCCCCGCACCTGTCGGTCCCAAGGAGAAGGGCACCCACAGTGGAGAATCTCCTAACGCCTCCTGCCCGCCACCCCAGCCCCGACTCCCGAGTTCCCACCAAATCCCAGCTAAACCCAGGCCTCACTGAGCCCCTGCCTCGCCCCAAAGTTAGAGGAGGGCCAGCTGACCTCATCCCATGGGCCGGGGTGGGGGGTGGGGGGGACGCTGATGGGGCCGGCCTCTGACGCCCCCGCGTCCGCAGCGCCATGGGGGAGTGGGCGTTCCTGGGCTCGCTGCTGGACGCCGTGCAGCTGCAGTCGCCGCTCGTGGGCCGCCTGTGGCTGGTGGTCATGCTGATCTTCCGCATCCTGGTGCTGGCCACGGTGGGCGGCGCCGTGTTCGAGGACGAGCAGGAGGAGTTCGTGTGCAACACGCTGCAGCCGGGCTGCCGCCAGACCTGCTACGACCGCGCCTTCCCCGTCTCCCACTACCGCTTCTGGCTCTTCCACATCCTGCTGCTCTCGGCGCCCCCCGTGCTCTTCGTCATCTACTCGGTGCACCGGGCCGGCAAGGAGGCGGGCGGCGCGGACGCCGGGCCCGGGCCGCCGCCGCGACGCCGCTGCTACCTGCTGAGCGTGGCGCTGCGCCTGCTGGCCGAGCTGGCCTTCCTGGCGGGCCAGGCGCTGCTCTACGGCTTCCGCGTGGCCCCGCACTTCGCGTGCGCCGGCCCGCCGTGCCCGCACACCGTGGACTGCTTCGTGAGCCGGCCCACCGAGAAGACCGTCTTCGTGCTCTTCTACTTCGCCGTGGGGCTGCTCTCGGCGCTGCTCAGCGTGGCCGAGCTGGGCCACCTGCTCTGGAAGGGCCGCCCGCGCGCCGGGCGCCGTCG